CTAAAACGAAAACGACGTCGTTTTGCATCAAGGCGCACAATGCAATGCGCACACGAGTGCATGATATAAATTGCCCCACCTTCCCTTAACACTAATATAATAATATAAACTAACAAATTATTTATATAAACTAATTAATATAAACTAACAAATTATTTATTATATTAATATAAATAATCAAATTTAATAATATTACTAAATTTAATAATCAATTTTATTCGAATTTGGGCAATATTACTTCTCTACCCTAACCGCCCCTTGTCCTCAACTCGGCTATTTCCTCTCCCCACGCATTCCATTTTCAGAATGTTCAGTCCCATTCTTCTTCGCTACGCCGGTGGTTCAACACTAAATCCAGACGCCGGTGGTTGGTGAGATGATCCTAACACTGTTCGTATGGCCTACTTTGTCTTAGTTAACTACTTCAATTTTATATCTGTACATTGTACTTCAATTTCTTAGTTAAGTTCTCGATTCCGTTAAGTTATCTAGTATATCTCTCACTTAATTCCAATTCTATCATTCAATTTTTAAGAAATTGAATAGATACAGTGAACCCTAACTGTGAAGGGTTTGTTTACCTACTAAGTCGATGGTCAAGTTTAGATCTGATGAAATCCTTCAATCGGATTCACATGCATGACGATTTTGACAACAAATTTTGTATTTTTATCCCCATTATCTTGTAATCTATTTGGTGGATTCGTAGTTCTAAAACCAGATTTGAAGCAAAATTCTTTCATTTTGTTGTTATTAGCATTTTTTTATATGCAGACTTTCTATTTAACAATTAGGTTTAATATTATGTTAATATTTTTCAGGCGCATGTTGGGATGCAGAAAAAGTAAACGGCAATTTGCTACAAAGATGAGTTTTTTCATTCTTTAGATTTAGAACAGATTTCAATCTTTTCCAGATTTTTTGTTCAGGTTCATGTTTGTATATATTCATAGGTTGACCGTAAAGCTGGATACATGCTAGACAAAAAACTATATTGGTTCATGGTTATGTGATTTATTTTCTGACTATGTTTGCAAAGGTCTGCCTAAGTGTGTACTAAGATTTACTCTCTCCTGTGGTAGTTTTCAGTCATACATAAGATTTTTAAAACATCAGTGGTGTAATAATCAGAATAGTAGATAGATTTACCTTTGTTTTGGTCCAGATGCTTCCTCATTGACCCAATAGTGATTGAAGATGCATGTAATTTTCCTCATGTTGTCTTGAGTATGAAAATACTGACTATATGTCTGGAGAGATGGTTTTGAAAATGTTTTCTGATGATGTATGAAGTCTCTTTTATAATTTCATATTTAGAGAGGAAGGTCATGAGTTTCTTTAAAACTGGTTCAGTGCAAAGTAAAAGATTGATCTTTATTATGCATCTTAGAATACTAAGAGTTTTATGTGTGCTATTTATTGCAAAGTATTCAAATAATTGTTATCAAATTTTGAAAATAAATCATTTCTGCCAATTTGATTTAATTAATTTTAAGCATGAGCCTAAATAAAATAGATTTTTATGTCCTTTTCCCATTAAGTGTTAGCAATTCTTGAAAACTTGCAAATACTGAAGATTATTCATAATGTACATCCTCTATGAGTTTTCCTGCAAAAAGTTAGTTGTTTATAGTTGTGTTCTAATTCTGTTTAACTTATCATTTATTGATGAATTTTCTTTTGCAAATAAAGTTGAATAAAAATCTACATAGTGCTGTGGCAGAAACACCTCAAGATTCCTTGAAGTCAATCAACAATTGTCATAAACAGTTGAAGCACGGAAGGTCATGGTATCAAAAATCAAGTTTCATTAGAAATCAGTACTATGTATATTTGAAATAAGTTCCTATCACATTATCAAATTTTTCCATTGATTTTGATGGCTTCCTATTACTTTGCAGGTTCAGAACTTCTCCCTGATTTCTGAGGTAAGCCTCTATAAATCTTTTAACATTACAGTGTTGCTATCCTTTTTAGACTTAGAAAGAAGTAATATAGATATAGGCCAAAATCCAGTAATCAGTACTATGTATATTAGAAATCAGTAGTAAGTAATGATAAAATAGTATTGAAATATCTATTTATTCATAAAGCTTACCTCCTCGTCATGAAATACGATCTCTGCTTGGATCTGATCCATTGGACTCCTAACATTGAAGTGTAAATATCACTTCCAAGAGTATACATGGAATACATAATGTATGAGAGATGAGAGATATTCTTGGAAGGGACTTGTTGTTCAGCAACGTGTGGTTGAATGCATAGGCCTGTATAATTCATTATTTATAGAATTGTTGAGGAATCAAATCCTTGGTTATTTACTTTCAAAAAAAAAAAAAAATAAAATCCTTGGATATTTACGTTAGTAATCTGAAAAGTTGCATCCTTATTTGTTCTTTTAAATATACCTCTAATATTTTTATGTATTTGAATTCTGAACAGACGTGGATTCTGAACAGACACGACATTGAAGAATTTAATTGTGTATCAACAATGTATTTAATTTTTTATTGATTTGTATTTGTATAATCTGAAAAGTTGCATCCTTATTTATTCTTTTAAATTAAATATATCCTCTAATATTTTTATGTATTTGAATTCTAATCAGACTTGGATTCTGAACAGACACAGCATTGAAGAATTTAATTCTATATTCTTCCCAATTTAATTCTTTATTGATTTGTTTATCAGCAATGCAATTAAGTACTATATATATATATATTTTTTATTTTATTTTATTTTATTTTATTTAATTTTATTAGTTTTGGCGGGAACTATAGATTCTTCTATATTATAATAGAAGATTATTATTTTTATTATTATTATTATTACTAGTATTTGTCCCGTGCGAGGCACGGAAAATATGTTATCTTAATTATAATAAAGCTATATGGTCTTGTGAAAATTAAATGTTGATATTAATGGTTAAATGTTGGTATTAACAACATTTAATTTTTCCAAGACCATATGGCTTTAAGAAGCATGCATGCAAACCACCCATGCAACCTCAAAGTCCATAAGTTTGAAATTAATATATAGCATAGCTAGGCGGCCTAAATTTAAGATTGTTGATGTGTATATCGAGGACTACGGAGACAAAGATGCGTTATTCGTGGATTCATCGGATACTATCCAACAACACTCTCCAACTTAATTGACGTGAAGTAGGGATAGTAACATTAATATTATATTCTCGAATTATTAGTTCTCATCTTTTATTGATTACACACTTAATCCGATAGTATTTGGAAGAAAAAATCAATGTTCGAACTAAGATTGTGATTGTTTGATCTTTAAAGGTCAATTGTATGTTGCTACGTCTAGAGTTAGAAATCTCAAAGGTCTAAAAATTTTGATCCGTGGTGACTCTAAAATTGTAATTCAATTACTATTATAGTTTACTAAGTTCTTAAAAGTTTGTAATATTAAATACTATGTACTAAAATTTTAATATAGTTTAAGATTTGTAGTAATCACCCACCTTAAATATTATTTTAATTGTAAATATATTTATTAATTTTATCATAGGAATTCACACATAATAATTATTAAATAACAAAAATTTTATATATAAATAAACCTCATATAGGGTATATTTTTATAACATATTTTCCGTGCATCGTACGGGATAAATACTAGTAAAAATATACCCTATATGAGGTTTATTCATATATAAAATTTTTGTTATTTAATAATTATCACCCACGCGATGCACGGAAAAAAAATTATGTTATTATAAATATAAATAAAAAATAGAAAAAAATAAAAATATTTTAAATTATTTAATATAATAATATTTTTGAGCTTCCATTGGTCAAGTATTTATTATTTTTATAAAATACAAAATTACAATTAAAATTAAAATTAAAATTTTGTATGGTTAATATAATCTCTAATTATGTACATATTCAAATAATCTTATAGAGAGAATTTACATAATTACATTGATTTATTCTTAATTGTATTTCATCTATATTATAATTTTCACAATACGAATAATAACTAAGATAATTACATTTAGAAAGCAAATTTCAAATTTTGTATGAGTAAATTTAAACTCTAATTGAACACATTTTTTTATATGATTATATAATATATTCTTTATGCACATGTCATTCCATAAACCCAAATATCATTCTCCAAGATCACTTTTTGTGGAGATAATTCAAATGTATTTTTTTTTCTTTTAAAAGTCCTAAGTTTAGAAATCCAGAAAAACACTAAAGACCCATATGATATATACATTTATATATATTTAAATTTTTATTTATGGCTCAAATGATTTTTTTTATTATTCTGAAGTCCAATAATTGACCCACGACCCGCAGCATTTGCTTTCTTCATCCCTTCTCGCTTCTGCCATTTCTTTGAAGCATTTGAGAGGGAGAAAAATTATATGTAGAGGCTTACGTTAATTGCAGATATCGAATAGGCTTTCATCAAAAATTTAATTAATATTGTAATCCCAAGAAACACCATAAATAACAAAAGCATATCAAATAAACTTTCATTGTAAAGCTAGAGATTTAATTGATATTGCATCGTTTCATATTTTCTATTAATTGAGAATCAGAATCCTTAATCCTAATATCATAACATTTAATAACTCAATTAATTCAATAAATGTAATCCTTTATTATGAGCGAGAAAAAAATAGCTATTTTATTTTTCAAATGTTATGTGTTTTTTTTTTTTTTTTTTTATAGGAAATGATGTTGTGGCTATTTTATATTTGTAGCTAGTAATAATAATAATAATAATGTTGGTAATTAATTGTAACATTAATCTTAACTATATGGTTTGGGAAGTAACATTAATTATAACATTAATTACTTCCCAAATTATATAGCTTTATTATAGTTTATAGATTAGATTATTATACCATGAATAGGATTTCCGTCGTGGCCAATAGTCCAATATAAACGTGTATTCCTAACCGCCATTATCAACACTATAAATACAACCCCATCATACGTCTTCTCTCTCCGGGGTAACCTCCCTCCTACAACTTTTTTATTTGTGATTTCATCCCTTTTATCTTTGGATTTAGGTTTCTTGCTACAAGGAGTCTGGGTTCGCTTTGGCGATCGGTTTGCTTTATCCTGTGCTTCGATTTAATATTCTGGAGATTTAGTATTTGCGTTTATTGGTTGTTATTTGGATTCTGAATATTAATGGCTGTCTCTAACTTGATACTATCTCGATCACGATCTAATTGGATAGGATTTCTTAATATTCATACTGCCAGCGACATCTTACGATACGCGTGACTTAGTTTGTCTTTTCCTTTTTCTTTTTTTTTTTTGGGCGATCGAGATGATTACTGGTTGAATTCTGGTTTATAAAGTTTTCTGTAGATATTGATTGGTATGGAGTTATCGGGTTGAATGGTGAGTTCCAGTCATTGAGATGTGTTAGGTTTGGTGTTATTAAAATCTCACATCAAACATCTTTGTATCCATTTATTGATGTGTTATGGCGCTGATGCATATAAACAAAGTGGTTCTCTCGATTTTGTTGATGCTAGGTCCATAACTATGCCAACAGTCTGATTATCTTCAAGATACAATCTATATCGACATCTAATTGGATTGGATCCCTTATTTATACTGGCCAGCTACATCTAACTTTTTTTTCTTCTTGTGTTCTTTTCTTTCCTTTGTTTTGGGGTGATCAAGATGATTACTGTTGAGGTTTATAAATTTTCTGTAGATGTTGATTGCTATGGAGTTATTGGGTTGAGGAGTGAGTTCTCGTAACAGATGTGGATTATTGGCTAGATCTAGTCCTGTCCTTGAGACGTGTTCGGTTTGGTGTTATTATCTCATATCAAACATCTTTGTTCTTATTCATCTGTTGAAGTGTTATGGTGCTGATGCATACAAACTAAGTGGTTCTCTGGATTTTGTTGATGCTAGGTCCAAATCTGTGCCAACAGCTTAATCTTCAAGATTAGATGCTATCTACATTGCAATCCTAATTGGATTGTATCCCTTATTTATCCTGACCAGCTACATCTAACTTTTTCTTTCTTTCCTTTGTTTTGGGGTGATCAAGATTTCCTATTGAACTTATAAATTTTCTGTAGATGTAGATGTTGATTGCTTTGGAGTTATTGGGTTGAGGAGTGAGTTATTCTAATGGATGTGGATTATTGGCTGGATCCAGTCCTTGAGAAGTGTTCGGTTTGGTGTTATTAAAAAATCTCATCACACATCTTTGTTCTCATCTGTCTACTAATGTGTAATTGTGCTGATGCATATAAACTAAGTGGTTCTTGATTTTGTTGATGATAGGTCCATAGCTGTGCCAACAGTCTGACGATCTTCAAGATTAGATATTACGCCATCTAAGTGGATTTCCCTTATTAATACTGGCCAGAGACTTGTAACTTCTTTTTTCTTTTCTTTGTTTTGGGGTGATCAAGATGCTCACTGTTGAATTCTGGTTTAAAAACTTTCTGTAGATGTTGAATGCCATGGAGTTATTGGATTGAAGAGTGAGTTCTTGTAGGGGATGAGGATTATTGGCTAGATCCAGTCCTTGAATGGTTTGGTTTGGTGTTATGAAAATCTCCCTTCGCACATCTATGTTCTCCTCCATCTACTAAAGTGTTATGGTGCTGATGCGGAACTAAGACATTCTCTGGATTTTGTGGATTTTCTATGGATCCTTAAGGCGTTGTACGCATCTCCTTGAAACCTTAGATCTACTATTTTGTGCCCTTCTACTCAAATTTTTGTGCAAATTATCTTCTTTGATGTTTTTCTTTTACTTCACTGACATTGGGGGTAGGACTCCAATTTAATTTTGTGGCTTTTGTCTTCAGTTTGATCTGTTGATATTATCTGAGCAAACTGGTTTTGGAATTTTCTTTTTAGGTGCCATTCCAGTTTTTGTATGCAATGGATAACATTGGAAGGGTGCAGCCAGGGAAGCTATCATTTGTTTACCTTGTTTTTGGTGTTCTTAGGTTACAGAGCTAGAAAAGCTAGATGTGCATAGGCCATGAATAGGGAAGCTGCTACTTTTATATTTATTGTTTTTAGTCCTACTCTACATTTTTGTGTTTGTTAGTTGTTCTAGAGCCTGTTAAGCATTGCTTTGAGAAATTTGTTTGAAAATTTCTTTCCCCAAATATGGTTTTCAATTGGCTTATAATATTCTTTTTGTCCTGATTTGGTCAGATCCACAAGTTTTCTTTTGGACATTAGTATGTGGCCTTTATTTATTTCTACAATATTTGAACTCGTTGATATGTCGATATGTATCTTTGAGGATAAGTGCATCTTGAAGTACAAGTTACTGTAGTTGTTTACTACTTTGATCCAAACATGTGGACAGGTGAATGGGCATCTACATCTTGTGGACAATCAAACCTGTAAATTTAATTACACTATATATACTTGGTGCAAGTCTGCAACATGGCTGTTTGCTAGTGTTATCACAGATCAGAAGTTTCCAATTCATATTATACTGGCCATTCGAGTGCACCCTTGATCCAGGCAACTCAACTTTCACCTGTTTGATGAATGCTGGAAGCTATGGTTTGATATTCTTTCTGCCATTTCTGTCTTTCCTAATTTCCTAATTATTCTAGGTTTCTTTGTGCAACATTGTCTTGATGTTTGGTTGTCAGTTGTCATGTTTTGAAGACATTTCTCTAATTTTTCTTTTCCCGTAGCAGTTTTTAATTGTCTTTCCTTGCTCTTATCCTTCTAAATGAGTCATCTTTTCCAAGTTCACTTGTGGCTGTCAGTAGCTTGCGCTTGATGAAGTTTATGTGAGGCTATATCTCTAACTTCTGTCTTTTATGAAATTATTATGTTGTAGTGCCTTGTGTATGAGTCACAAAGGATATGCTAGTCTCCAAGAATGTCATCGCTCATTAGCTTTGATCATCTCTCTCCATTCCTTTCTACTGCTTGGCTATGTTCTTATTTTTCTACAGTGACTGGTGAAGTAATGGATGGAGACTTCTTGAAGGATAAATATGGCCGTAGATCTAACTACTCTGTATTTGAGGTGATTAATGCAATGCTTCGTTTTATGTTACATGTGCCAGAGTAAAATGTGTGGTGGACATTTGGAAGGATGGGCAAGACAGATGAGGAAGGCTAAGTTCAATCTTTTCTTTATTAAGTGATTATACATGTGACAGTGCAGGCTGTGCATTGTTTTCTGGTGCATCTTGTCACAGAAAAGACGGTTAATGTTGTCAGTGGCCAGTTTTAGAGATTGGGGAAACGAGTAACCTTTCAACTGGTCATTGTTGTTCGGCAAGGTTTTGTTTATGGGAGGTTTGTCGATCTTTTAAAGGATAACTGAGGTTATTGTTCAGTGTACTTGTATCTTTAAGAAACAAGGCTATAATTCTTTGTCACTATGGTGAAATCAATGTCTTCATTTTCTTATGATATCGCCAGTACTCATTTTGTACCTATAGGTGTTGTTCGGTTTGCTGCACTTGTTAGTTGATTCTGTTGAGGGAACTGGTTCATACAATAGTTATGTGTGAATGGTTCATTGTTTTGATGTCTCTAATTCATCCTTTAAACCACCATCTATTGGTTTCTAATTGATCTTTTATAGCATTGCCCATTGTTTCGCATTGGTTCTTTTATACTCCATGTATGGTTCAATCATTCTTCTCTTTGGCTGGGGGAAGTTAATGCTCTAGTTGTGACTTCACCTCTCTTTTCTTTTAGAAATTAGAACACTTATCTTTTGATTCTTCCACATTTGATATTTTATCTTTGTTTTCTTTGGTCCATATGCTTCTAAATGATAGGATGATATACGAGTCATATATTGTGCAATTTGGTTGGTGGAGGCTATCTGGTTTCCTGAATTTCATTGCTAGTTTTCATTGAACCTGATTACTGAGCCTCCCCGAGGATAACTAACAGCTAGGATCTTTTATGATAAGTAATGCTATTTATAGATTCTTCCTTTATTTTAGAGATGCCTTTTATTCATCATAGTTCAACCAGTGCCTTTTGCATGTTGCCTGTGGTCATAGACTTATAGAGCAAGGTTTACCTTATGACTTGTCAGTCAAGGCAGTCAGTGCGTATGATCAACTATGGTGTCCATGTGTGCATATCATTATATCAGTTTATCTGGAAGTTGTGATTCAGCGTATGGATTGGTGAATGACTGAATGGACATCTTCAAGGCTGTGTCACTTTTTTGCCTTCAGCTATGGTGGATGGGAGCAATCTTGAAAGAGATATGCTGGTATGGTGATTTCGTTGTGAGATATGCTGTTTTTTATTGCTCATGTCAGAGTAAAATGTGCTGATTTCAAGATCCATTGTTGTCATTTGGAAGGATGGATAGATAAATTAACCTTATCTTTTTACTCGGGTGACTAGTTACATGTAACCCATTAAAATCATTGTGCAAGTGGTGCCTTGTTTTGTCTTGCATAGTGTTACAAAATAAGTGGTGAATGTCCATCAGCTGCCAATCTTTATAATTCCTGTTTCATTTTACTCTAGTTATTTTTATGTATTGCATATTTTACTGCCTTCCTTTTCCTATTTGACCTGATGAAGTATGGTGGTCAAACATGCTTTTGAGGAGATGAATGGTCGTCTGTCGTTTAAGCACAGTTTTATATTGTCCCTCTGATTCTGTCTTAATTCAGCTTTTACGGGTGATGCCCACTTAGAGTATAGTTTGCATCTTTCATTTAAGCATATTTTTTTTTATTGCCCCTCTGATTCTGTCTTAATTCAGTTTACGGTGATGTCCACTAAGATTATAGTTTGCATTTTGTTGTGAGGTGTATCCAAGTATGGGATCAATGAAGACAGCTGGTGTAGGTGTCAGTGTGACCATTCAAGGTTTGTTTAATGTTGGTTTAGCACTATCTCCTTGGTTTCTCTTACAATCGAGTTGAGTTTCCTTTTATGCCGGTACCAGTGGACATATATTTTTGTCTTTGTCATTCAACCTTTCTGACCTTTCATGCCACGCATCTATTGTTCTGGGTCCTGCTTTTTTCCTGGGTCTATCTCGGTACCTTTGTTTGCTGAAGCTGTTGATCACTGGATACCTTGGGGAGGATAAAGTGAATGCTTTGAATTTCAGTGAAGACATCTATTCAAATATATTGTTCGACAAGTCTTTTTCCCTTGTTGCCTGTGGTCATAGAGCAAGATATTCAATCAAACTAGTCATTGATATTACGCCATCTAAGTGGATTGGTCCCTTATTAATACAGAGGCAAGATATTCAATCAAACTAGTCATTGGTGTATAATCAGTTATGTGGTAGCTGTGATTCAATGTATGATGACAGAACACAAGGGGTGTGCTCGGACTTTTAGTTATGATCAATTTTGTCTAGTGTGTTCGTCTTGTTGAAGAAAGTGAGTACAAGTTGGATTATTCTGCTGGTTTACTTGTTTTATGCTACTATATAACTTTTTGGGATAATTTACATTGGAACAGCCTATGTTTTTTTGGCTTGAAGACATTGCAGTAGACTTTTCGTATACATCATTTCAGAGTGCTGGAATGTTTTGAGAATTATGCTAATCGAATGTTTTGAAGGGTGCAGTTTATGCTTTGAAATCATTTTTTGACCTTACACTCCAAGTTAGTGCTGTTGAATTTTAAACTTCATCTTGGATGGCTTTGGCTCAATATCAATAAGATGTAGGTGAGTCTTGTTTTCTGATTTATTTAGGTTTAAGGGTTGTTGAGCAATGGTGTAAAAGAAACAGAAACAGCAAAAGGTGACCTAGTGTTTGTAATTAAATTTGATGGGGTCAATAAAGAATTCCGAGATAGGTGGTATTAATCATTGATTTTGAAGCAATATAATGTTTCTTTTCCCTCTGCAGAGTTGTTAAGGTCTTCACTCTCTATGCTTTGCTAATAGTCTCCACCTTCTGTGCTAGTACTAATCTTTAATCACCCAGAGAGATGTGTGCAGTGATGTTTTGCTTCCTCTTTATCTGCTGCTTCTTCTGTGTGTGTGTGTGTGTGTTTTTGTGCAATAGTTAGCAATCTTGTCTAGGTAGTTGTTCCATTCATTGTTAATTTAATTTTGGTTTGCTTTTTAACTCCGCTTGTGAAAGCAGCCGGTCTCAAGCCTGGATGAAGGAGGAGGGGAAAGCCAATTAAATCTGCCTTAAGTTGTATATTTGCAATTGTTTTTTCCAAGTGCAAGATCATGAGAACAAGACCTCGGATTGGTCTCAGTTCATTTAATTACATCAATGGTTGACGATTGTAGTATAAAAGTACAGGGTCAATTTTATAATTATTGCATATTTTTAAGTTTGTAATATTTATAAAATGACTATTTTTTTTTTCTATTTTTAAGTAATCCCTAATCCCTAATTGTTGACGTAGAAGCATGTTTTTTCTTGAACTTCCTATTTATATATACATATATATATATATATATATATATATATATATATATATATATATATATACATATATATAGATTTACAATCAAATAGGAACTCTCTCTTAGGTAAGAACATAAGAACTAATCCTAGCCATATATTTAAGTTAATCAATGTATTAGATTAAAACCTATTTTTATGATATTTTAGGTATGATTTTTATTTATTTTAAGTAATTGGGGATATTTAGGGTATTTTAGTCTGAGAACTGTAGATTGCATTCCAATTTATTCGCCGATTTCCACATCTTTTTCTCCATTACGCCTTTTCGTCTAGCCTCTTCCTTCCCCACTTTGCATCTGCTCCAAGATCCAGGAAGGGCAATGGCTTCGCTATTCAAGAGGCATTCGCCGTGGTGTGTTTGCTGTCTCAGGTCTTCGAAACTCCAAATGCGAGTCGTACTGTTTGTCTTGTTAGCTCTCAACCCAAGTTGCCTTTTTTCATTTTTTTTATGTGAGTCTTTAATTAGATCTCATGCATTAACATATGATATGGTCCCATGGCTACAATTTTAAGATTCGTCGTACTGTATTTCTTATTTTAATTTGACATGTACTGTGTTTAATTATCAGTAGATTACTGGTAAAAATGATGATGTTTTTCATCAACCCTAATCGGATTTCATGGCTTTTTGCTTGCTGTTGTGGTGTGTTATAATATCTGCTGTGTGCATATATTCAATGTGGGGTGTGCATATATTCTATGTTGATTATGTGCATAGGTTTGGATGCGTGTGTATTTTGGGTGGATGTTTAATTTTGTTTTCTGTCCTAGTATATCTCATAATAAGATTTGTTTGTGCATGTATGCACATTTGTGTATGCATATATTCTGTGTGTTGGAGGGTTGAGGTTGTTAGATGTTAGTGTTTGGTATTATGCTTGCTGGTGCATTGTAGTTGTATTGTTAGTGCATTTTAGGCTAACTGGTATTGAGTTGTGCAGTTAGACACATTTGTGGGTGCATATATTACCTTTTTTTGTTGTGCTCTTTCGACAGATTTGGAGTGTTTCTAGTATGATCTGTTATGTGCATTGGAGTTAACTGCATATATTCTTTGTGGTGATGGGTTGGGGTTGCAAGTTCAGAGTGTTGGCTAGACTACTTTGTTGTGTGCATTGTAGTTGTATTTGTATGTGCTTTTTAGATTGGCTAGTATTGGGGTGTGCAGTTGTTCACATTTGTGTGTGCATATAATCTCTATTTTGTTGTATTCTTTTTCTCTATTTTGGTGTGCATATATGCACATTTGTGTGTGCATATATTCTTTGTTTTCTTCTGTATTTTGTGTACTCATTTCACCCCCAACATTCTGTGCAGGTAAAGAGCCTCGGGTTGCATAAACACCAAGTAGAATTTCAAGTGAACGTTGTGGATGACAATCCACAAACAATAAAATAGTTCGAGGGAGAGAGAAGAGTGTAGTTTTTTTTTTTTAAATAAGAAAATTGTATAATCAACCATTTATTTTATCATTGTAATTATTTATAAAACATATCTAACATTACCATATTATTTATGATGTACTATGTTAATTATTTGATGAATTTAGCAGATACAAACATGTTTACTGTTCATAGGATGACACGGTATTTTTTTTTATAGTGTAACCCAAGTATCTATTCTGAGACCAATGATTGATCATTAATGTTCATCACAAGTTTAGGGGGGTATTGGAGCATGCACAATCGTATACGAGTACATGCACACATTCGCAAACCTAAGTGCACACAGTATTTCGTATATCAGTTTTCTTGAGGATCATGGCACAAACTCATTAACCCAAGTGTACAAATAGTTCTATCTAAGTGCACACACAACACAATCCAAGTGCACACCAAAATGTTTAACATCCTTTCATACATAAACTAATTCTGCAAATTATGGCACACACAATGTAACCCAAGTGCACAATGTCAACCAAGGTGCACACCCTAATCTATCAACCCAAGTGTACACAGTTCAACCCCAAG